GGTACATTGCAGGTAATCAATAACCGCAAATAATGTATCAAAATAATTTGAAATATTTCAACATACTCGACAAAATATTTAAAATCTCACGTCAAATTATTTCGTGTGTACCAATGTATTCTTATGTTAATAAAAAATGGATAGATTACAAGATATTAACTTGACGAATACATAAAAAATATTCGCCGTATTTCGTGCAACGATTCTCAATGGAAAATGAGCTCAATATACTCTGACTCGTAGTGTTCCATGAAATCAAACGAATATAAAAGAAAAGAATATAAAAGAGCCCATTGAATTTCAAAAGCCCCGCTGCAGGAAGGAATGAATCTCAGATCTTCCAAATTGCTCCCGATAGTGGTCATTTCGGCAGAGAGTTAACGACGACCGTTTTTCAAACATTGATTCGTGTATCTTCGCTATTGCAGTAATCTTTAAACGTGGATCATGATTTTCCTTTTTCTAATCCTTATTATGATATTCTAATTAATTTCGCGAATATGTCGCGTACTCTCGTGCCGAAACCACTGCTTCCGGGTATCCGTGACATAAGAATACTACAGATTCAAGCGGGGAGCACACACTTTTGCATAAGTGCATAAGCATATGCATAACGAATTTGATTGGTCCATTTCCTTATGCATTTGCTTATAGACCAATCAAATTCGTTATGCATATGCTTATGCACTTATGCAAAAGTGCGTGCTCCCCGCTTCACTCGGTTCTGCAACGAGGCACCTAACACTTTACAATGGAAATAGCTTCCACTCCTCTATGGAGATTCAATATATCAAACAGAAAATGAAATTGCCGTTATCATTTGAATCTATCCATATTTTAAGGCAACGAATCTACAAGATATATTAATTTACGAGCTACGATCTATAATCTACCATCTACGAGATGTAAATTCGTTGCCGTAATAAAAAAGTTTTTGACTTACTTACCGACCCGATGCGCAGCAGCGGAGTTTATCTGTTGATTCTGTAACAAAGAAATATAAGAATCATGAGAATAAAGACTGGGTGCACGACAAAGTGTATTTGCAGTTTTAATATGTGTTAATGCACGTATAATTCAAAATACAAGCGATAATACATTCTTGTTTGCTTTATTTCTTTTACTGAAAATATTTTATAATTACTTTCTCAACAATATTTCTAGTGAAATCGATCGCGAATATTAGAACCGAAATCTAACAACAAAAAAAATTGCTGTGTATTCTCTATGGAAGTGGTTCTGAAATCACGTTAAGCAATCAAATAAAACTGTCTTGAAAAACACGCTCAGATTTCATATCTCTTATTGTTGCAACTAAAATGTATTTCATATTGAAGACTTATCTCGGAATAAAACGTTATTATGATTCTCTCTCTAGACGATCGAAAGAATCCGAGTCAATTTTAAATATAGGAATTTTGTACACATAAGAAAAGTGTAACTACCTCAAATTAAATAAAAATATAACTAAATATCAAAAATTTTACTAACATCGTAAAAGTAATTTTACTTTTAAAAGATTTATTTTAAATGGCAAAGAAGATTTGCATTTCACTACGGTACGCTGTGTTAGATTTGTGAGTTGTGTGGAAAAGAATTCCAAGAAAGAACAACAAAGATTACTTGAACGGCACATTCTAAGTGTGACTATAGAGCCTCCCGATGGGACAATGTGTTCTGAATCCTCTTTTATCGATAAAAGCGCCTCTAAAGCCTATCACACAATGTCAGGCAACAGGCAACAGGAACAGGGAATAGAATTTCTGACGCGTTGGATTGGTTGGAAGAAAATTTTCGACGAATCCAACGCGTCAAAAATTCTATTCCCTGTTCCTATTGCCTGTTGCCTGGCATTGTGTGATAGGCTTAAGAGTAGCTTGTAGCCAATCAGCTTTTATCGATAAAAAAGGATTCAGAATATAGGGCCACAGTAGATCCGGGAAAAAATGGAAAAAATCTTATTATACACTCAATCGTATAATATCTAATTATATCCCATGAAATCCAATTCTAAAAATCATCAGGTCCTCAGAAATTTGATACTTTCTTTAAATGTTCGACGATATCTACTAAGTTCTAATTATGTTCTCTTAGGATGTTTATAGATTCAGTTAGATTCAGTTTATAGATTCAGTTCTCAATAGAGAACGTCGAACATTCAATAAAAGTGTCAGATCTCTGATGCCCATTCTACACCTAGGGATGATCCTACTTGTGGCTCATCCGATACTCGCTTCTATACCTAAAGCTAATCCTACTTACAGCTTATCCGAGGAAGTAGTATAAAGTGTAAAAGGGTACACTGTAGTTGTACTTTGGTACGATTGGAAACCAACCAAAGTGTAAACCTTTTACACTTTATACTACTCCCTCGGATAAGCTGCAAGTAGGATTAGCTTTAGGTATAGAAGCGAGTATCGGATGAGCCACAAGTAGGATCATCCCTAGGTGTAGAATGGGCATGAAGATCTGATGATTTTAGAATTGGATATCGATCGCCAAAGCCTTGGGTCAAGAAGAGACCAGCATTACCGTGCTTTGATTACCGACACACTTTGCCCCCTGCAGGTGCGAGTCTGGACTAAATGTATCCGATTTTATCGACAGACTGTGCCCAGGGTAATACATATAATTATTATTAACAAGATTTCGCCCGAAATATGTACATACAACGATAATAGAAATAGCAGGAGTGTGTCGTAAACTTTATTGAGATCTACGTGGACCGTTTCTGTACATCATTTACGCGAATCTTTTCCATGAAACAATATGCGACGAATGCTCGCGCGAATCGTTCGAACGGTCGAGTCGAATAGACGGGAAGGCGAATAAAAGCGATCCGCGGGATGAAGTTAACGCAAGAATGATACATAAATAATTGTACTCACCAGAGGGTTGCTCCGCCGTTGCCCGATGCCTCCCAGGCCCGCCGCTTCCTCTCAGATCCCTCGCAGATTTGGCACTGGCAATCGGCACAACGCGGCACTCGCGGCACTCGCGGCACTCGCGGCACTCGCGACACGGCACTCCCGGTGTTAGCCGACGCGAGCTCTGTTACGAGAACGAGAAAGAGAGACGATCGTATACGGAAACACGAGCCGGCACGATGGCGTCGCGTGAAACGGCGGGAACGTTCCGACGGGCACTCGGAGATACGCGAGGCTCGACGCGTCTCGCGACCGAACGCGAGCGTTCAGCGGGGCGATCTCGCGCCGACATCTCGCTCGCCGCGCGTCACGCGCGGAAACTCGGGTATATCGGGTAGATACACGCGCGAGGAGACGCGAATTGAAGTTGGAGCTTGGTAAACTCGCGGCGCCGCGAGGATCCGGCTGCGCCATAGATTACAGCCGAGGTTACTCGCGAAATTCGCGCGTCTCGGTGGATCGCCGACGCACAAGTATCGAATAATCTACTCTGCGATCGCTCAACTTGATCCGCGTTACTCACCACCGTCGTGAAAAGCGTCGCGATGACCGTCGGGCGCGGGAGACCGGTCCGCTGCGTGTCCGCGACGCTCCGCGATGCTTCTCGAAGAGACCAACATGGCGCCCGCACCTGTCGCTACTGCGCGGTGCTACACGAGTCGAGTCAGCGACGCGACTTGAGTTATCCACTTTACTATCGCTCGCGCAGCGTATCTCAAATGAACGCGTAAATTCACCTGCTTTTTATTGATGAACACTCGACACACTCGCGGCTTTCCTCCGCTCAAGTTACACCGAAGGTATAGCGAGCCCGAACGGGGTTAGTAGACGGCAATTCGACGGTCCGCCTCCCGTATCTCCAAGCGCACGCTCGCGTGATCGTGGCGTCGAATTAATTGAGCGAGGAATGTTCGCGCGCGTCGTCCCGTGGCGTACGTGCCGGCGGCTCGAACGATAGTGCGGCCCACGGAACGTTCTGTGACCTCGGCGCGCAGCGGCCGCGGCGGCTCGAGGAAAACAAGTGACGTCACTGCGGCGCGGCGGCTCGAGACAAACAAGCGGCGAGCCGCGCCGAATTCAAACGCGCGTCGCATCGTCATTCGAACTGCCGCGCGCACGGGACGATGCGCGCGATCGCGTCACTGACGTCGTCTTCGTTTCTCGGAGCGTGCACTCGCGAGACACGGGAGGCGAACCGTCGAATCGCCGTCTACCGCTCGCGCTCGCTATTCCTCCGATGTAACTTGAACAGAGGAAAGCCGCGAGTTTGTCGATTGTTCCTCAACTGGCGTGTGAATTTAAGTGTGCGTTTATTTGAGACACTTGCATCGCGAGGGCGATATCGAAGTGATATAGAGTCAAGTCGCGTCGCTGACTCGACTCGCGTAGTATTTCCACGAGTAATAAGAGCCTTACTAAACTCTCCCGATAAATGACGTTGACGAATTACATTAGAGAGTACAAAATGCTTGTCGAATAAAATAAAGCCGGGAATTTCTTTGAAGAGTCCGCAATTATTTATTCGTAATTCGACCCGCTGATGCGTCTAGACTTTTACCGGTTGGGGAAGCGGTGGCTCTTAAACGTTTTCCGTCAAGAGGGAGCTACTTGCATTTACAATAATTCCGGAGTCAGGTGCGACGGCCGTATCAAGATCTACCAAGGACCATGGACTCGAAAGCCATCTAATCACAGAAGATATTTCGTCAGACCGAGTCGTGACAGCCGATAGTACTTGACAGTCTGATCGCTCGAACAGGTAAAAGCACGTAAATATATCGAAGCTAAATAAAGAGAGAGTGCATATCTTGATGTAGCATCGTCGCCGGGGCTGCTAAATCTATCGGCTTTGTTGCAGCTGGCTCGGGTGCCACGTGTATGCGGCGAAGTATATTCCCCGTCGAGCGTTGAATAGAAACTATGGTACTAGACTTGGACCTCTTCCGCGAGGACAAGGGCTTCGACCCGGAGAAGGTGCGGGAGAACCAGACGAAGCGTTTCAAGGACGTGCAGCTGGTGGATACCGTGATCGAGAAGGACAAGCACTGGCGGCAATTGCGCCATCGCGCCGACAATTTCAATAAGCTGAAGAACATGTGCAGCAAGGAGATCGGCGAGAAGATGAAGAAGAAGGAGCCGCTCGGCCACGCCGACACTGTGCCCCAAGCCATCGCCGACGACCTGGACAACCTGGCCTCCGAGCACCTGAAAGCGTTGACGGTGATGCAGATCAAAAGAATACGTGCCCTCATTGACGAGGCTATACAAAAGAATGATGAGAATCTGAAGACTACCGAGTCGGAGAGGAACAATGCGCTCAGGGAGGTGGGCAATCATTTGCACGAATCTGTGCCCGTCAGCGACGACGAAGAAGAGAACAAGGTACGCTCGTACGACTTGTATGAGATACCATCGCCCGTTCTCAGTGCCCATTATTTAACGTTCGGTTGCCAATGTTTTGTTGCCTTAGGTGGAGAGAACTTGGGGAGACTGCGTCGAGAGGAAAAAGTACTCTCATGTAGACCTGATCCACATGATCGACGGAATGGACGGAGAACGTGGGACAAGCGTGTCCGGCGGACGTGGCTATTTCCTCACTGGACCAGCGGTGTTTCTTCAACAAGCCCTGATGCAATTGGCACTGAGGAAGTTGTTTAAGAAAGGCTACAAGCCTCTGTACACTCCATTTACCATGCGGAAAGACGCGATGCAGGAAGTGGCGCAGCTTTCTCAATTCGACGAGGAACTGTACAAGGTATGTGAGAGGTAACACTTCAAGAGAGTTAATATAAAATTAATTTACTTATAATTACCATGTTCTATTACACGTCAGGTGGTTGGCAAAGGTACCGAACGTAACGAGGACAAAGAGACGGAGGAGAAATATCTCATCGCTACCTCCGAGCAGCCGATAGCAGCTTTTCACAGGGGCGAGTGGATAGCCGAAGGCGCTCTCCCGATAAAATATGCCGGAATCTCTACGTGCTTTAGGCAAGAAGTTGGCTCTCATGGACGAGACACCAGGGGTATTTTTAGGGTGCATCAGTTCGAAAAGGTATGTGTAGTTACGTGAGATCAGTATTATCGATCAATATTATCCCTGCAATCCTGGGTGAGCCTTGATTTGTTCTAAAGATTCTTCCTCTTTGAATACTTGCAATAACAAGTGTTTCACGTAATATCTGGTTAGCCACATGCGCGACCCTTAATTAGGACGGTCCAGATTTTAGTTAGAGCTCCTTACCCTTAGCTTGTGCAGCTTACGAATTTAAGAATTCGATTAAGATGAGTCGCTCCAACGAGCCACGCAGCGTAGCCCAAATAAAAGTTGCCAATTTACCAACTCGAACAATAATGATTCAACAGTACAGTTTAATATATGTATGTGATGTATGTATTATCTTATAGGTGGAGCAATTCTGTCTTACCTCGCCGCATGACAACAAGTCCTGGGAGATGATGGAAGAAATGATTTCCAATGCGGAAGAATTTTATCAGGCCCTGGACATTCCTTATCGTATAGTTAATATTGTATCCGGTGCACTGAATCATGCAGCTTCCAAGAAGTTGGACTTGGAGGCCTGGTTTCCCGGCTCGGGTGCATTTCGCGAGCTCGTATCGTGTAGCAATTGCTTGGATTATCAAGCAAGAAGATTGCTAGTCAGGTCGGTGGATTGGATGAATATAGATATTGCTTTTTGTATAAAACTTACCGCAAGGGTCTTGTGAAATTCGTTTAATTTGCAGGTACGGTCAAACGAAGAAAATGAACACCACGACGGACTACGTTCACATGCTGAACGCGACGATGTGCGCAGTGACGCGCGTAATTTGCGCAATTCTGGAAGTGCATCAAACAGAAACTGGCATCAAAGTGCCGAAAGTCCTGGCGGATTACATGCCTTCCGAATACGAAGCTGAGATTCCGTTTGTGAAAGCTGCGCCGATCGACGAGATCGAAACAAAGAAGCAGAAAAAGCAAAAAGAAAACATGTCGAAGTAGCAAGTCGTTACGTGAACACGGTAACGAAGCGAATGGACTATGGATCTTATTTATTGCATTTTGAAATTGCATTTTTTTTAATATTCCATTACGATCTAATGCGGAGCTGTGTGCTGTAATAGATATTTAGGAAAATATATACACTAGTGTATTTTCGGCTTCTCAATACCGACAACGTGTTTCACAACAATATACCTGTTTCCTTGTCTCGCGAGTTAAAAACTTCGCCTCGCGAGAAAAGATTTCCTCTGGCCGGTTTTACATTCAGAGACAAAAATCACACGTGACATCCCCAAATATCGAGATTTATTACCTTTATTACTCAAGAAGGCATGTATCCGTTCAACGATCGTGTCAAGCTTAGAACAATCGACGATTGTCAACACAGATTACAACATTTTATTTGATAACACTTGTTCAATATTTTTATAATCAGACATCGGTATATAATATATATGATTTTGTAATATACATTTGATGAAGAATATTTTTCAGTATATAATATTCCATATTTATCTGCTTCCTGAAAACTCGTAATATCTCCGTAATGTGCTAAGAATCTTTCCGTTTCCTTCCTGTTTATTTTTACAATTATCGGTATCGTTAATACTAATATACACACAAGAGGCCATTAAAATGTCTCCCCCAGAACAATGCACTTCAGTGTAGGTGTGAAACGAAAAAAAAAAAGAATTGAAAACCCTATTTTTCTACGGCGCTTCGTCAACGAGCTACGGTCTCCCCGCGACGATTATATTTATCGGAAGAAGAGCGCATGTGTGCCGATCTCCATTCGTAAAACAGATCGTTACGTATGCTAATGTCGGTATAATAATACTTTGGCCAGGCATAAGATAATCCACTGTACTGCTCTTTCCATCCTATAATAAAATATAGACTTTACATTGTTACGAGAGTAAATTTTCATATAATACACTTCACATACAGTAAATCGTCAATCATTCGCAGCAACGTGCCTCGCCGAAATAATGTTGGATTTCACATTGTTGTTATTACTATTGTTACCCGCGGTTGTAGCACTACTAGATTCATATTACTGAGCAGAGTAACTCAACTTGGATGAAATTGCAGGATGCGAGATATGGAAATGTTCAGCGGAAAGACCGACGGTGTGATATTGTACGATCGACCGGAGCAGCCGCCGTGCGACGCGCGACGAATCTCTCGACAGAAAACGACGGCGTCGAGAGAGCTTTCAAACATTTCCAAGCTTACACCGAAGATCACAAACTCGCGTCAACCGAAAGAAAGGAGGCGCGCGCGCGCACACAATAATTTTAACGTCAATGTATGTACAATTGCAGACGGAAACGTTGGCTTTTGCGTGATCGGGGGATGTTCCGGTAACGTAAAGATGCCGTGCGAATAATTCCTTTCTCATCTCACGTTCTTGCTCTCATCCCTCAGTCGCTCCTTAGAAAAAGTAAAACGCACTCCTAAGTCGAAACGGCCGTGTGTATGCGTGTTTCTGTACCCGGCAATTTGGTCCAACAACTGGTACTCGTTTTTTAAGGGCGTCAGTGTTAAAATCTGCCAATCTCCATCGGCTCATACATCCGCAAAACGCGCTCGGCTCGCATTCAGCTCGCAACACGTTGATAACCGATGACTCGCGAGTCCCGAGATATTGATACAGGCACAATGGTAAAATCGGCAAACGAACATCGTTACGGTAGTACACAAGTGTAAAAAGGGATGATCTCTCACTTTCTCTCTCTCCCTCCCTTCCCCCGGAAGAATTTCTCTCCGCACCTGATACCTCTACGTCTCGTATCGTATTGGATACGATTAAGAAAAATATATACGCGTATGTATCGCTTTCTTCTTTTTTTTTTAACGGAGTAATTCCACGGAGTTGACGCGCAAGAACGCCGATACAATTTACACTTAAGAACACGCTCCAGAGATATTGCTTGGCGACACTGAAATGGATCATAAGGGGTGTGTGTGTTAGTCGATCACGTCTCAGGGTACAAAGCGGACTTGTCTGTCTCGTTGGATTGGTGCAGATTTTAATGCCTCAGCCAGATATATAATTGTCTTTCCTACATATAATATACGCCATGATGTCATACATATGCGACTGCGTTTAATAGTTTGTTTTATACATTTATGTATATATATACATATATGTATGTATATATATTTATTTATATTTATAATTGTATTTATATTTCATCATCCCCACGCATGTATATGCACGTACATCGTACAATGTCCAACGTGGAGTGTTTTTACTGCATGGATACATATAGAGTCACTGTCCACGACTTCTATATATATTTACTTTTGTATGCTTCGTATATTTTCATAACATTAATCTTGACTGATAATATATAATTACATAACAGTTTTAAAAATATTTCAAAATTAAACAAGAAATAATAGAATAATTGAATATTACGGTAAATCGCGTAGCGGCTAAGCACAGTAAAAATATATTTAACGCAAATAATAAAAAAAAATAATGATAAGAATAGTGTGAAGAAGCGCTCGATTTAGTGCATATCCGTTTATACAATGAGGAAGAGATACAAAGGGGAAGGAAACACATACAGGAAGAAAGTCTAGTGGTGAAGAAATAGTCAGTAGAGTAGCCGCCACTGTTTACTTTACTTCTGTTTTCCTAGATCACAGTCACATTCATGGCTGCTAAATCACGGAACGTATTTCGTCACCATACGAAATAAAGGGAGGAAGAAGATAATATATATACATAGATACATAGATACACACATATGTATGTATGTATAATGTATGCGTATATATACATATATGTATATAGTGTGTGTGTTCGTGTGTGTATATATATACATATACATGTATGTACACACTACACTATATACTATATAATATATTTATATTTATACATCTTTGATATATACGTGTATGTATGTACATATGCACACATTTATACATACACATATATATCAAAGAAGTTTCCAAGAATCTTATAAATACTGGAAAGTAGTTTGCTAGTTTACGCAAGTACAAAATATATATATAGTATTTTTTTGTATTAATTCTTTGAGAGATGGGCTAGAATGTGAGAGATATTCAAACCCTGTTAAGATCCTGTCCCATTTAGATCTAAGAATCTCTCGAACGACATATCGTTTCTAAAAAGACTTTATGAAAAGTGCGCGTACGGATTAAAAGAAAAAAAAAAGAGGTGGCGCTTAACACATGGACAATTTCTTGATGGACGACTTTTTTCCGTTATGGCTAAACAATGTAAAGACACAGATATACTTGACAAAATCATTAAAGTATAGTATAGAGCTTGTGAGCATACAGCATAAATATACAGTAAGACTTGAGCATTCGTATCTAAAATATTTTATAATAAAATATCTTCCTAAAAAAATTGTACGAATCTCATATCGAGAGGTATCAGAATTTAGCCGAATTAAATAAAAACGAGCTTGCATACTTCACGGCACGCGACATAAACGTATGCATCTCTATTAGATGATTACCCTTCGAATTTTGATTGCTTGCATGAAACACAACCATAAAAATCGTTTTAAAACGTATTAAAATGGCTTGCAATATAAATCTGAATTGTCATCGGCAAAGTGACATTAATTAAGTAATGTCGGCGATACGAAAGCATAACAGGATCAATCCAGGCTTTAAGTTTCCCTCTTCCTACGTTACTATTTGCCACTAGTGCGCTTAACATTCGATAAAAGATAAATCAAGAGACAATAGGATGATGATATAATTATATTATATACAAACAATAGTATCCTAACGCTTTAGGAAAGGATTAACTTTGGAGAAGGGTGGGAGGACCGTCCCGAGCACAAGAGTCCACTACAGATGAAGGCCCATAATCTGCAATTATTCTAAACTTAATCCTGCCTGCACTTCTCTTCGTAATTATAGTTCTACGAATTACAATACCATATACGCTACCATCTCCATTAAATATATATATATATATGTATTTATATATATATATTTTTTCAATTAGTATATTGTTTTCTATTTACAAAATATGTATATGTAGAATACACACTGTCTCATATCCTAACTACAATATACGTGCCGTGGCGCGAGACTTCAACCTGCCGAGGTGCGCTTTTTTTTATAAACATATCACTAATTACATAATCTATTTTACAGCCAAATTCAACAATCTTTGCTAAAATTCGATGCGATAATTCTGAGAGCATTAACAACGTAAAAAGGAGGGAGAACGTTGGATCAGTAAAAGAGAATATTAAAAACAGATGCAATACACCGTATCTTTTCTCTTGTACAATAAAGAATAAACTTATTAAAATACACGATATAACAACACTGATCCTATTCAACATACTGTACAAATTCATTGTGTACAACATATACGTTTAGGCTTTGATAAAAGGATACCGCGATTTTACTTTTAATGCGTTGCTGCTGTTAATGACATACGGCAATTGCCGACAATTAAAAATTGATGTCGAACATTTGAACGATTAGATTTTGTTGTTTGCCTCTTCATCTATGGTAGTACATATTTAAGTACTTAATAAATGATACAATAAAGGTAATAATAAAATGTGTATTTGTCACGGTCAAAAAAAAAGGAAAAAAATTAAGACCTACATAAAAACGCTTACATCTAAGGCCAGGAAAAGAAAAAGTATATAAAATAAACGAAAAAGTTAAATGAAAAAAGATAGACCGTTTTTAAAACACGTATAAAATATAGATTAATGCATTGAATCTTAGCAAAGCTCTAAAAACAGTAGAATAAGTACTTTCAATAATGTCAGAGAAACATATTACATATTAGCTATATATCAAGAGAGTAATCTAACAATTATTCTTCCACTAGTATGGGAATTATAGCGCATGCATATTCCCTTCACTTTGTCGCCGCACAATGGCACGATTTTTACTTGTGGTATCGCAATGTATAAATCAAGAATACCGGTGCACTTACAAATTCTTCAGATTCAAAGAATTGTAGACATTTCAACTGTTGAGATATTCTTTGCCTCAAGATTATTCCATAATATTTACATGAAATAAACATTTCTGACGAATGTACATAATTTTTGTGCAGTTTATCGCAATTTTCATTCAATAGTTTTCTCGATCTATGATATATGATATACATATATATATATAAAGTATAACTAAAGTATATATTTATATATATATATTTATATATAAACTCTGATTTCATTTCATAATGTGTTCTGTTAATTCTATGTTCCATATTGTTTCCAATTACGATTTTCTCTCTCTCTCTCTCTCTCTCCCTTTTCTGCCTGTCCCTCTTTTTCTCTATGAATTTTATTTCATATTTTCAACAACATTTAACAACGGCTTAGGCCTTTCATGAATCACGCAGGACGTGTTGATGTACAAATATCAATTACGCAATTAAGAATACGCAGCAAAATGCGAATTACAATTTTAAAATGTAATAAAATAATATTATATTTGATAATTATTTTCCTTTTCGATCATCTTTGGATCTAAAGTAGTGTAATATTGTCTTTCTTGTTTCAAAGAAGAAAGTTTATCTTGAGTTAAGTTTTATCATGCTTACATTTTCCGTCATGTCATGTTACTATGTAGTATAGTACAATTAGACTCGTAATCAGACTTGCGTGGGAAAACATAAATTGTCGCGAAGTGTATCGCGGCCTAACTATTGAATACTCGCAGTCTTCAACATTTCTTTATTGTTCAACGACGATCGAACACAAAGATCCGAACACACACTCTAAGAGAGCAGCTGATATCTCCAAACAGTTAATAGCTCAATATTATGTACAAAGTCATCATTGACATTTATATATCGACACGTCTCAATATGCCCCACTAAAGTTGTCATCCGCACCAGACTTTATCGTAATTTAAAATTGCACTAAAGCCTTTCGCAGTACTTAATAAATTCCAAGGAGAGTGTGCACTAACGACTTTCCTAGTAAACACTTTGCTCTTCAAAGGATAATGATGTATTCATGTTGCGGATTAAGGGGATGCATAGTATCACAGTTGGCACGTGGGTGCTAGCTACCACTACTGCTTACAGGCAGTGAATGTGGAGCTCCCATCGATGTTGAAGGAGCACTTGAACCTAAAGAAATATTTAAAAGTCATTTCAATACAGATCAATTTATGATAAATGAGAAATAATGAAATCTTCTGCACTTATACTTACCAGTTACAACAGGAGACGATTCGGAGATCGGCAATGGACTAACGAGGTTGTTAGCACTCGGCGTCGAATTGGCTTTCAATTTTTGCCTCACCTCTCGTATCTTCAGTTGCAAGCTAGTCTTGGTAGGAAATATATCCACATGCTTAAGTTGAAACGTGGTAGTCGCTTGCGCAGATGGGAAGTAGCCGTGCTCCTGAAACAACTGCATGACCAACAGTCTCCGTTGCTCCAGTATCTTCCTGTGACCACGCTCATTGTCACCTCTACCGATTCCCAGCACGGCGTTTCCAGCACTGCTCCCAGGGGTTTTCGGCGTACGCGGAGAGCTAGCATCGACATCCATCAGATCGTTATTGGCTCTATAAGCATCGACGTTGAAATCCGGGCCGAAGAACGTGGTGCCTGTCAGCTTAACACTCGACGTAGACTTTGGAGTGGCTGCTATCGATGTATCCGAGTCGATCTCATCCTCATTCACTATTACAAAAATATGTATAATATCGCAAACGTAATTATACCAAACCTAGTAAAACTATGTATAGATTATTCAATATGATTTACTTGTGGGCCTATGAGGTCCTTGTGCGGATTTCTTTCGATAACTTGGCATCTGCATAGGTGTTTGTGGATGTAATATAGAAGCCGCACTACTATGGCTAGATGATCCAGGGGTGTTTATACTGATCGCACTCGGGCTTTGTATATCCTCCGGTTTGAATTCCGGCAAGGACGAGAATTTTTCTTGAAAGTTTACTTGTTCGAGAACTCTAGAATTATTCGACCAGTGCGTTCTCAATACATTATCAAATTTAATTTGGCATATTTACAGAATCTCATTAGCACAATTATAAAATACGATAAAAGGATTAAAAATATATTGATAGTACCTGTCCATACCATCCTCCACGTTTTTCTTGAAGAAGGAGCCCTTCTTAGTAGAGGGAGAGGGAGAAGTATGAGATTCTGTCAAATTTTGTTGTTGCGTTTGTTCTGCCATTTGAGATATATTTATGTGTGGTCGATTATCACAATGTTGAGGTGTCGGCCCATGGTCTCCTGCAGTTGATGCGGGAGGCATTGCTGTTAGATAGAAGGAATGAAAGAGGAGCCGTGAAGAAAGGAAACAGAAAGGTAAAACGGCTTAGAATTAAATTCATAGAAATACGTGAAAACTATGTCTTTAACTATAAATGTTCTATTTAAAGTAGACTTTTCCACAGTGAAAATGTCCGAGCACCGACAGCATTCGTACAATTAAAGATACGAAGCTTTTACAACTTGCAAGAAGATAGCTAGGAAAATCATGTTTTTTAGATGATTTCTTAAATAAATTTGGTTACTAATTGTCTCGATGAAATTTTAATTAAAATTTTAATTGTACAGAGAGATTCACGTTAAAAATTTCGGAAATTGCAATAAATAATAATCTCTCTTCACATTTTCATTAAAGAAACGCTAATTTTAGATTCCGCACTTTTTAGATGTATTCAATGTATCATAGTAATATATCTCTCTTGCGTAAATGTCGAAATAACAAATTGTAATTATGTACCCATTGATTGTCTCCTTTGCAATGGTGCTCGACCAAGCTGTGCCGGAGTTGGAGCAAGCATGAACGGACCCTTATTTGGCCCCATGTCATTGCTTTGGCCGTCATCGAATGTGTATGACTTATTCGACGGCAGATCACCGTTTCCATGATTATTTTGAGGTGTGTGTGGCGTGTGAGGCGTCGATGGTTGCTTATGTATCTCATTTGGTGCGGGAAGAGCGATATTCACAGTACCCTTTCTATCTTCAGTCTTAATATTACTGACTGTAACAGAAAGAAAAGACAAAGGATAAACATAAGAACGTTACGCATATTGCAATGTGTAAAGGCAATTGAATTCGCAGAAAGATTACCATAAAACTGAGTGTGATTTGTAGCCAATTGATTGTCACTGTTCTCGGATTCCGCGAGGCGAGCAATGGAATGACCGATTCCTCGGTAAGTCGACGTAGTGGAGATTGTCGATAACGCTGTCGAGTAAGGTTTGCTCACAATCACGCTTTGGATTTCCATCTTATTATTCGAAACCAAACTCTGCACGGATATCGAATTGTTGCGGCTACCGGCGTCTGTATGCGGATCGCAAATATGTTAATTACGTTACGTTACGATATACAATTGAGAAGAGTGGAGCGATCATGCAAGAACAGAACAATATCTGTAGACTCACCAGTGATGGGTATCTGGAAACCACCGTACATCCTGGCGTGTGGCGGCGTCGGGTTAAGGTACTGCGATCCCTGCTGCGGTTTGGAAACAGCCACCAAATCGTTATCGAGCAATGTTAGAGTGAGCGGTGGTTGATAAGGGACAGTTGAAGTAAGGGGGCGAAGAGTAGTGCCTAAAGACTGCAACGGCTGCTGTTGTTTCAACAGCGCCATCATAGGTTTCGATCCAATCTGTTAGTATCGTTAAACCTGTTACTTAATCTTCGTCTAGAAATCTCATTCAAAAACTATCGGCTTCTGCCGTGTGCACTACTTTCTTAAGCGGACGACCGTGATGAGATAACTGCGATACTGTCACGGGGAAAATGTGTGGCTTGTCGGCACGATGAACGATAGCTACTCTCAATGACCCGGACATATATATGTGTGTGCGTGTGTGTGCGTGTGATATTTGCGGTGAGTGTCTGTCTTAGACGAGTCGCAAAAAAACGTATGTTAAAGCGTCTAAACCCCGTCTAAATACTTACAGTGTGTAATACCGGAGCTGCTGTAAACTTAGACATGTTCCGTCCGTTTTCAGTGTGGATGCTCACGAGATTGTTAACGCTGTACTGCGTGCTGTACTGCTGCTCGCTCTTCACCGGTTCTGGCTTAATAACTTTCGGCGATATCGGCATAGTTATGAAAGCGCCGCCGGTAGGCTGGAACCCTGACACTCCTGTTGGATTGACAGGACTGTGATAAGGATACGTACTCGACAAAACTGATACGGTACTGCCTTTATCCATGGAAGTATGGTGATATTTTGTTGTAGATTCTATACCTGTTGAGGGTATCCGTGCTAAATAAACATCAAGATTCGTATTGTTAAAACATTTATGTAACGCATGGCGCAAACGTTACATCCGTTTGTGTCTGAGAACAAGTACCTTTTATTGGTTTAGGCCTGCACGTTATTTCCTGTTTAACATTGATCACCTCCCTCTTTTGACCGCTCATCGCCGAGAACTGCGATTGATTGTAACATTTCTTTTCCGCGTCCTCATCTTGCGCATCGTTATCACTGTCCGTCAGTTTATCCTTGCACTTCAAATCTATTTCCGGCTGAGGATCCTCGCAGATAACCATTTGATCGTCATCTGATCCATTCGCGTCGTCGTCCTGCTTGATGTCCTCCACATTTTCAATTTGCAAAGGAATCTCCGAGATCCGATGTTGCGTATGCGACTGGTTCATAATCTGTCGATAATTTTGTCAATAGACCAAAAATCTCTTTTCTTAACGAACGTTTCACGGTAAGCAGAGAGAGGTCTTTTTTTAAAACGTACTACTTATTTTACGATACCGCTTGGAACTTACACTTGTGTTGTCGCAAAATTTCTTACCTCAATATTAGTGGAAGATTCATTGTATGTGGTGTTAATCGGAGTGGATACTTCATCGGCAGACGTAACCGTTAATGGGTCCTCCGACGAAGAACCTTGCAGAGGATCCGTTTCTTCTCCCGTACTGTTCAACTTTGCTCTTCCAGTTTCGCTTCCCTTAAAGCTGGTCGTCGACGACTTCCGTCTGTCCTTACTGCACCACTTCCAGTCCGGATGCGCTTTAAAATGCGCCTCTTTCACTTCTGAAGCGAGCTCGTGATACTTTTGTTTCTCCTCTGGTCCCAAAGCGTACCACCATTCTCCCAGTATTTTAGATACGGTACGATTATCTTGATTCGGATGACGCTGATGCACCACGGCGCGGTGCCGTTTTGAAAAAATCATAAATGCGTTCATGGGTCGACGTATTCTGTCTTTAGCCTGCAGGTAATTAATGAAAATGTGTACACGATAAAGATATTGTTAAATACATTCTTATTATATTAATATCATTAAATGCAACTTGATCATTATTAATATCACTATTATCAGATATATTTTTTATATCAACATTATGCATTAGGTATAATTCGATTCGTTTCATTGTAAATACTCAATGCCAATAGTTAAAAACACCTGGTAATAAGTTCATCGAGCTTACTTTCAGTGGAGTCTGTGGCTGCAAAGAACTGAGCGACTGACTGCGTCTTTTATTAGCGTTAGCTTCCACTTCTGCGGGTGGGGTCGGTTCTGCTTCGAAAACGTCATCATCCTCCTCTTCGGCAGGTGTTATGGGATCTGAACCAGTACCAGGGCCATCTTCAGCGGGTGTGCTCATACTTATTGGAATTGGAGGTGCACTCAGGGGTGGACTCAGAGCAGAAGGAGGAGGGCTCACCTCTGATTGTTCCATACCTGTCGGCTGCCAGGAAAAAGCTGCAATGAAGTTAGTGGGTTAGTTGCAATGAGTGTGGTTAGTAATGATGTGGGAATAGCAGCCGATAAAGTTATGCTATGGACTTTGTATAAACGTTTTCGCTGCTATATATCCAAGAGAAACGATGGATTAGTGGATTAATAAAAAGAATTTAAGTAAAGCTAGTATTGAACTGACCAAGTATCAGTGGTAACGAGAAGCTAACGTTACTATTTTTAAAATTGTTTATTTACTAGACAGCATAGAACATAGCAACTGTAATGCAAATTTGTCTAATAAATAGTCGTGAGTCAAGGGTAAAGTAAAGATTGGTTTGTCCGTAAAGTTTGTATTGTATCAATAGACATTATTGAAATGTATCGTACAGTACAACTTGCTGAAATACGACATTGTTCAACAGGAGACAGTAAAACTATGTAAAGCAAATCGATTGTATTTAATAACAATATTATTTATATATAAAAGTCTTTGTATTTAAAAAAAATCTATATAAACTTTTCGAACAACCCAACGCTAGTGAATCCAAAGCCTGCCCCAGCATTAAAGTTCTTGTAGATAAATGCTTATTTGTATATGTTAAATAAAGTGAGAAGTTAAGAGATGAGGATAAAGGTTGTTAATTAATTGCGTCTGCTGCAAGATTGGCAATGGTACATGGAAAAAAATTGCAAAATTAAAAATATTTTATGTTAAACGGAAATATCTGCAACAAGTGTGAATAACATATATGTAGCAGAATAGTAGTACAATTTTCTCAGTTTAGAAGAATGAGATTTTTCCTAATATTGACACGATAATGCAAGGAACGTTATTGCACTAGAGCGTGCAAAATAAATGCATGAAGACCTGAAGAAATGAAAGAAACAAAGAGAAAACTGCGACAATGTAAACATTAAAAATATAATTAAGCATCTGTGCTTACGGTACTTGATATAACAAACAAATGTTCTTGAATTATGTACCATTGACAAACTGCAACCTACAGCAATTCCATAGGCTTGATACATTTCAGTTGGCAGTCAGAACTCAAACCTTTTTTCCAGTTGCGTACTACATTGTTCAGTACTGGTGGGGGATGGGGCTGGTATGCAGGAGAAACTTCGTGGCTGCCATCTGTGAAAGCCTTACCGTTTAGTCAAATTTGCTTCTATCATCAATTCGACATATTGTGACATTGAGATCGTCGTTGCAAACAATTAGCGAGATAGCAAAATGGGACAAAAGGAAAATAATGTAGCGTTCAAACTTTTAAACTTAAACGCTTGAACAAAAAACAATTTACAAAAATTAATTATTAAAAACATGAGGAAGGATCTCTACTGGGGGATATAAAATATATAAGGACTATTTACGTCATGTAATAATGTATTAGTATTGCAATATAAAACTTACAGAGAATACCGTTGTTTTTGGCAGTCTCTTCTCTGGGAGGGTGAGATTTTGGAATTTGCACCAAATGTCCTGGCTGAACAATTACGTGCTGGAAGACGCTTGTCGGAGTAGACGGGTTGGTTGCCTCTGTGGTGGATGTCATCACAGCACTCGTAGGTGGTGGCTGATTCCTCTGCATGTCCATATGCACGGTCGTATGTGTGTTCACTTTACTCACCTGATGGCAAGTAAGATGTGATCAACTTAGCTATGCGTATGTCAGTGTTACGCTATTGTTAATATATCTAACTATAAATTGCTAATTTAGCAACTAATTATGTGCCGTGTCACACTTACAGGTTGCAAAACAGACAGTTTGTCAAGGTGGACGGATGAGACCGCGGGTGACTGAGGTGGTTGTTGACACTGAACTTGGTGTAACGTGGACACCGGCAATTGGCCCGGATGATTGAGCAGATCCTGCCGATATTTGTCGTCCTGATTGCTTATGTGCGCGCCCGCTGGCGCCGACATGTCCATGCTGTTCTTTATCACGACATACTTTTTTTCGTGCTGCATCACGTAGATCGGTTGACTTTGAGACTGCGGCGACTGCGCGTAGTCGACCGGCTGCTCCAACGATTTGTGTACGAGCGTGAGGTTCTGCGGCACCGGGATAGCCGGTAGAGGCATGTGGGGCGAGTGCGGCGGTTTAATCAGCTGTGAATTTTGTTCGGGCAGCTCGGTCTGATTGGGAAAGTCATTGCTGGACGTTAGCGCATGTTGCAGAATTATGTTTTGCTGTTGCTGAGCGATCGACGTCACAACCGAGGGGTGCCTCGTCGGTGGCGGACTCTGCTCCGACCACGACAAAGTCGGATTCTGTCCGGGTTGCATGCTACGGCTCACCGGGGAGATTCTTATCACGCTCGTCCCTAGACTAGTGGGGATAGCACCGGTCATCGGGATCGGTCGATTTCTATCTACTCGATTCGGCTCGGGCTTTATCACTTGTTGCGGATACTGAACCAAAAAGTTCGATTGCGTAGGTGAATGCTTCCATTTCGCCCCAGGCGAAATCAGCGGAGTCGCGTGTGCGGGAGTCGAGATAGGCATAAATACATTATTCTGATTGAGCCCCAACGGCGGCACCGGTGACTGATTTATACACGGAGATATAGAAGACTGACCCGTCGGCGACGAGAAGGCTGGCGTAACCGATCTAGAGCTTCCCAAGGACACTGCAATAACGGAGCGTTTAATCCATAAAAGGTTCGTACCGTACAAAAACATTATTAGAATATCAAAACATAAATTCTGTGTACACAGATTATCGACGGCTAGATGTAGTAAAGTATATGATCAACTTTTTTATTCAAGACGACCTATAAGAAAGTTTTAATCGTTTTTCTGAACGGTAAAGAAAAAAATTCTTGTTCTTTTCATTGAATATATAGAAGATATACCAAGCATATTAGCAGCTTCAGTTTCGTCTTGATCAAATCTACCTGCCATTCGTCTATCAACGTAATTTGGCGAGGTATCGGAATCTCTTGATGTTTCTTCGCCATCCATTTTACCACTGTAAACAAAAAGAAAATAACCATATTAAAGATCATTTACGTCGCATGCACCAAGCGTCCAGAGACCAGATAGTTTAATAGTAGAGCAATCGTTTGTCAAATGAAAAAGCTAATTTTTACTCCTAGTCCTGCCAGCTCGCATATAATATAGGAAGACTTTTAAGAGAAGAAATATTATGAATATCGTAATACAGAAATAAAAGTCAAAATAGATCCCAAAATAACTGAATAAATAATTCTAACATTATGTCCTCCAAGGAGTAGAAATCCAAATAAGAATAAACAATCAACAAAAGTCAAACGAATTCGTACCCAGGAAATGTGTTCGTTGGACCCCTAAGACCAGAGCCTTTTAAGCTAAGATGACGAGAACAGTATCCCCTTCGCTGACTTTCCTTGTTGCAGTCCTTCTTACTACAAAGACGACGCCACTGCTTTCCATTGTATTTTTTTCTTATTCCACTTGGTGTAACCACTATGTCACCCTTTTTATACCTATGTGGCGTTGCCGCCTGAGATCTGTTTAACAAAAAGAACAGACTCATGTACAATTATTAATGAAGAGTCTCGCTGTTATATGCATTAATCGGCTTATCTTATGGAATGGCTACTATATTTGATAAAATTAATACCGGGGTGTGGCTGCCTGAGAACGAGGCGTTATACTACGTTGTTCAACTAGGCTACTGGTACTTCCTCGGCTCTGCATGCTGCTTCTTTTGCTGCTCCCTGACAATTTTGCATCTGTCAGTTGAATATACCTGAATTACTATACTATTGTTTTGACTAAATTGCTCTCATTAAAAGCCTTAGCTCTTCTTACAATATAGGGAGTACGTTTTCAAAGAAATATCAAATAACATTTTAATAATCTACTTATTGAAATAATAAATAACGTCCGGTCTGCGTTCGCGTACGCACGCACGCATGTAGCAAACATGGGCGGTATATATTTTCAATAATATCCTACACGACAGTGAAAACTTTATGCTATATCCAACCTGCGTCCGAGGGAAACGTAATATCTTCTCTGCCTAAGTCATCATCGCTTTCTAAATCGTCGTACGGCCGACTGCCATTACTTAACGCCGTGGCAGAATGCGCAGGAGTGCCTAAAGCCATGAGAGGACTGGTACCGGTCGTTCTATAATAACTCGTGTCATTATGACTTGATATATGCGACGTGTGATGAGAAGTATGATGGATCTGCAAAATTGGCACTGCTGTCGGAGCTTCCGGGGTATTGCGATACCCGTGTTCTGGTAAATTTTAAAAAAGACAAACGTTACCACACTACAGCTAACGTCTCGAGAAACGATTGGGCTTATTGATTACGGAAATAATTGTGATGCGTTACCAATATTCTCGACTCGCGTAGGATCGCATTCCTCCAGCCCCTCTTCCAACTCTTCCGCCCATGGAGGCTGCACTAGTCGCAGGTCCGCGCGCTTCACAACGTAACTGTCACTCTGATCGTCCTCTCGCGGTATTTTCACAATAAAACGATGAGGCTTCGTTAATATCTTGCACACTGTCCCCCTTACGAACACTTTTGTCGCGTCCACGTGACTGTTCGCGGTCGGACACCTGATGCAAACCTTTGTCTCCAAAGTCACCTGTCCCAGAGACGGGCTCGCATCCCCTATCACATCGTACCGTCTCGCACCCAGAACCTCACTATAACGTGCTAGCTTCCTCTCGCCGTCGAACTCAATCATTAAAATCTCACCCTGAACAACGTTACGTATAACACCCGGGAAATAATATGAATCCCTTAAAGCTAACACTCTATGGTCGCGCCACTCACTGAGATCAATAGCAAGCCGAGGACGAGAACGTTGAGGTTCGTCGCGGATAGAGTAATCTACCGCTATACTCTGAGGAGGTAACACTACTACCGAATGAGCTGACGGTACCTGAAACATAAGAAAAAAAGTTCATATGTAATATACATATACACTTTCGAACAAAAGTGGTTAAGAATTACAGTTAAAAGTTAAGAGAAATTTATTACAAATGACGTAAATGTTCTGTTATATATTAATTTGTCACATAGATATTTTTATGTAAAGGTACAAGAGCTATTTTTTATGATGTAGAATTAGATTTCTTCCTATAAGAAGTATCAATGTTCTTAATTTTGTACGTAAGACTCGCACGTAGAAATATATGTCAAGATTATAATTTGTCATCCGATATTTTGTTCAGATCGCTACACATATAAATATTTCCATGTATCTATTTATGGTTTTTTCATATAGCGATCACGTGTCAGTCAAGATTACCTAACGAGTAACACAAAAATGTCGGCTACAACCATAATCATTTATCAACGTACTTGGTAACCATCGGACTCTTGCTGTTGCGGCGACTGCCGACTGGTGGTAGTTGGTAAACTGGGTTGTTGTCCTAAAACCGGCTGGCCACTAAGCGGCATAGCCGGCGTGCGTGGACCAACATGGATCATATTGTTGATGTGGCTGGTGACGTTGCTGATCTTGTCCATCTCCTCGAGCTCGGATGGATCGAATTTACGTTTCTTTGGAAGCTTTTTAGCGCTAATAGTGGGATCCGACAGGTCTCGTTGCGGCGGTGCAGGAGGCGGGGGTGGTTGTTCCGGAATAGGTTTCTCCTCAATCGAAGTACCACCCCCGCCTGCCCCATATTGCCCGCCGCCGAGGCCGTCCCGCTTCTCGTGCATCTCAGGGTGAGCAGTCAGCATCTTGGCCACCTCACGCTGCTCTAAAGATTTGTACATTAACTGTCGTTAGTATCGTTCATCATCGAGAGATAAGTTATTAGCTAAATGAAATATCTTTCTCGGCAAATGTGGATTCAAATATGCCAATCGTGGTATAACTGAACATTTTAGAAAAACAAAAAACTACTCCGCGTAACAAATTCAAAATTCTCTTTAAATTCCAGAATTGTGAAACGAATTCTTTTCCCGCGTCTGTTTTAAGGACATTTTTAAGAATTCGCTTTTGTGTTACCATAAACAATTCGGGCTAGAAAGAAATTCTTTTGGAATTTATTTTGAATAGATTACGCTAATCCGTGAGGAATTTTAAAAAAGTGAATCCATTTTGAATTTGTAACCACGAATTTGTGTTATTTGGATAGTAGAAAAAGAATGTTTATTATATAAACGAACCGGAATATAAAATAAAATGGTATTATTTTATATTCTTTCTTTCTTGTATCCATGGCTTGCTTTTCTAGACGAAATAATATGTTTGATGTGTAATATTGATGGTAATTGATGTGTAATAACAGAGAGAAACCTGAGAGCGGCCACGCCGGCGTTTTACCCGATACCATTTCCGGAGACTGTTTTGTGCGGCCTTACACGCCCATTTTTACTTTTGGGACTATTTCATTGCGCATTTTCTGACTCCGCCGATAAAATTTCCAATCGGCGCATGTCTGTGCCATGCATTCTGACATCTAATTTATAAAATTTACATTGACTACATGAAAAAAAGTTGATGTAAACATCATCGGCAGTGTCAGAAGATGCATACCAAAATAGTTCCAAAAGTAAAAATGGGCGTAAGGGCGCGCAAAACGGTCTCAAGTAAAACGCCGCGGCGTGGCCGCTCTCAGGTTTCTCTCTGGTAATAATATTGATGGTAATTGCGAACGTTCAAGTTAGTCGAAGTTATCGATTACTTAACGAAAATCGAGTTTCACAAGAATAAATCAAATTCGACCTCGACTTGAATTTCACAAGTGCTCTCCGTGCCCTTACACTGAAAACCTATTTCCATATCCTGTGTTTTAATTACAATCAGATTACAAATACTTGGCACTCGTTTCATTTAACCTTAGAATTATATACGCGGGTTTGTGAGATCCGTTGAAAATTCCAAGTCGCCGACATTCTTGTGAACATATAGTATATTATTTAACCCTTTAACCACAGAAGACGTATGTGAACTAGCAATCACCGATGCCTTCCCATACGATATATTAACTCATTTATACATTTTGCATATACATACGTGGAAAATGTGTATGTGTTCTACCTGTCCCGAAATTCATAGTGTACACTAGCAATCACTGATGCCTTCCCACATGAATTTAGGCACAGGTAGAGCACATATACATTTTCCACGTATGTATATGCAAAATGTATAAATGCGGTAATATGTGCCTAAATTTATATAGGAAGGCATCAGTGATTGCTAGTGTGCACTATGAATTTAGGCACAGGTGGAGCACATACACATTTTCCACGTGTGTATATGCAAAATGTATAAATGAGTTAATATGTGCCTAAATTTATATGCAAAGGCATCAGCGATTCCTAGGCCGGTATTCATAGTCAGATCTTATATTCAAGACTGTCTTGAATTTATCTAAAGATGCTATATGGAACATTTTTATTGGCTACGGAGTATCTAAAAATGACCTTACGACGGTCTTGAATATAAGATTTGACTGTGTACGTACATACGCCCTGGAAAAGTAACCTCGTTTACGAAAGGCAGTTAAAAAATTGGTGCTTTGTAATATAACCAGTCTATATTTGAACTTTAAAATGTGTTCCACTTGTGTCAGTGTTGTGCATAGATAATTTTAAAATTAGCTAGATAAAGAAGATTTCGTCTTAAATATATCTAGATAAAAGATTATACGGTGATTCATCTAGATAATTTTCAGATAATATTTTTAAGACCTCATGTAAACACAGTAGAAAAAAAGTTATAAAAAAGCTTGTGCGCCATCTACGTTTACGTTTGCGTCTTTGTCGTAAGCTATTACGTTGCTTTGTGCTCTGACCCTAAAATGTTCATTCGCCGCCGTCCGTCACACCGTTGGCGACTTGGGTTAAGTTATATGACACACACATAAATGCATGGTCTACAACGCCAGTCATATTTAAATAGTGCAACTGTTAAGTATTTTTATGTGGACCTAAACCAAATTATCTGTACGTTGTCTTAGATAATTTAGTAACGATAACACTTTCTTTCATCTAAGATGCAGATATAGATAATACTGATTTTTATTATCTATATAAAGATAAGATAACGCTAAAATTTTAACTAGATAACCATCTATATAATTTTATTTAGACAACACCAAACACTGCCAATTGTACAATCACATTATTCTACGATAACATGACTCTTGGAAAACGATTTCTTAAAAAGCACTCATTTTCAACGAAGCTATGTGCAAGAACTCGACACAAGAGGCATCCGATCGCACCAAACTTCGAATTTACAGTCGGATTTTTGCTAGCAAGTTTGTTGGACTGATTAGTTCTTTCTTCTTTCAACTGAATTTAAGGAATGCGCGATCTGTGCATGTAAATATAGCGCGTAATCTGAGGATTAACTTATTTCTGCGTACAGTGACGGACAAACTGATTGGAACACTTTTCTTTTACCGAGTTTAGAAACGCGCATTTAGATCCAGAGTTACGTTGCGGAATCTTCTTCTCCGAGGAATATTTTACTCGACGGCCATTCCGAAACCATTTCGAGCGTTTCCGATCTATTTTTCCGAGTAAACTTTCTCTCCGGGAAAATGTCTTGGAACGTAAACCCTAATGCACAATTTTTTTTTTTTTATAAAAGCAAGTGTCGCAACCATTCTGTCCATCACTGTACCAAAGAGATTAACTCGAACAATCGATCGAGAAAACGATCGAAACGATAGTTTTCCGTTGGTATCTCCCGTCGCAGCGCCGTGATGCTGCATCATCGGGACGACGGCGCGTGCGTTACGTGGCAAACCTGACTGTATACTCACAGTCCGTACAGTCGAGAGGAGGCTGTGTGCTGAAATGTGGCGAGCTGTAGCTGGGAGGGTGGTGACACCGGCTGGGTGCATACCTCAGCACCCGGCTGTCGGGGACAGGATGCGTCGAGTCTGGGCTCTCTCGTCTTTGTCTCTCTCGCGACGGGGCTGTCGTACCCTCTCCCAACTCCAATTCTTCTTCCCAGCCCCAACTGCCTAGCATCCTCCTCCGAAAATTCTCTTTTTAGGCGGACACTCGTCGTCTCCTCTTTAATTGTTTCGCGTCTCCACTGAATATTCTGCAAAGAAAGAAAAGGGCCCGGCTTAAACTCCGACCATCGACGCGGTTGTCCGACCTCCGTCACTTCTCCCTCCATCCCGGGGACGCCGTTGCGTCGCCGTATCTTTTCGAAAAAAAAAAAAACTCGTAATTACGCATAACGATAACCGTGTACAATACTTTCGGCGAGCCGCGCTACTTCGTCAGCTTCGGCGAATAAAGGACTCGATTGGCTATGTCTTCGGATGGTCTCGGGTACCATTTCGATTTCTTAGATTGTAAAGCGTCATAAATCTGTATAATAATAACAACAATCGACAGCCGCGAAAGACGAATTTCATGCATGCTGTGAAATTTGAAAAGTAATTCGGTGATTTAAACAGCTCCTTTTTCTTTCAATGCTACGTTACGGTTGTTTAAACCGATTAGATAGCAGAAGGCAAGAAAGAAAAATTTACGCCGCGGGCAGTGTAAACAAATCTGCCGATCGCGCGGTCGAGCGTTTTCCGCAATCATTCCTGTGGGCGTACCCTCGGCCGCGATTGGCCGATCCGTTTTTTTCGTGAGTAGATCTTAGACCTTGGACCGTGGCCTTGAACAAGTCCGAACAAGCGCGCTCACGTAACCTTCGGAATTATTGGAAGAGGAAAAACTCGGGGAAAGAATATGTGGAGGAAGAATCGCGATGGCACCATACGGAACAACATAGCGAAACGCGAAACACATAACGATCGTATTTTCTTTCAATACGCTAGCGTTTTCGGAGTGAAAAGAACAGTTATTCTGCCGCGGTACGAAGGCGGATTAGCGATTGCGTTAAAATTGAGCGAACTTGAGCGAGGGTGACGTAAATCGAGTGCAAACGGGTTGCGAGAACTTGATGACATGGAGACAAGAGAAGGCGCGACGAGATCGACGAAGAAATGTAGAAAGATCCCCGAGACGAAGCGAGAGACAAGGTCGACCTCGCGGCACCGTCGATCGGAAATCGCGCATAACTGCGGTTACGCGCGTCCGTTTTCGACTACTACATCGCAAACTACTCAACGTTACTAGGTAAATATTACCCGAGGACTCGTAAAACGCGAAAATCGTCAAGAGGTCTGGGCATCTCCGAACTTTGTTTTCAGTGAATTCGAAAATTATCAGATATTCAAATTCAATTGATTTGACTCGCGAGACAAGAAGAATCGCAGTGGGAAAGATAAGTTGAAAACAACTTGTCCTATCTATCAATGACAGAGATTTGCATTTATTTAGTAAAGTGAGATAATTACGAGAGTAAAATATTGACCTTAGAACAGAGAGGTTTCGAGTATCAATTATGTTAAGTGAATTGATGAAGCAATTGAGGGAAACCTGTCATAATAATTTACAACTTTTCTAGAACTGTGACGTTGCAGTTCAGGAAAGCGGAAAAATCTAAAAGAACTTCTTCGCGGATTAGTCAAATTAAGATTAGTTGTGACTAACTTTTATACTAGAAATGCGAAGAGTCTATCGAGAAAGCAGCTCGTGAATTTTTAATACTGTACATTAACCGAGTCTCTCGCTCTCCCTCGCTCGCTCACGCGAGAGTGTGAGTGAGGAACCAAGAGAGAATGCATCAAGTTTGCTGCTCCCTCGGGTCTGACTCACGACTCGTTCAACTCACCCACCTATACCTAAGAGAATCCTGCCATTGTGTATCGTGTCCGCTCGTTCGTCCCTGCTCTCCCCTCCCGCGTCTCTGCCCCCCTTCCCTACCCACGCACCCTTTCTTCGCGAGAGCGGGTTTCCCCGCGGATGCAGACGCGCGCAGGTACGTAAGGGTGAGTGCCCTACGAATGTCGAACCTCGAAATTTGATGGGAAGATAACACGCGTCTTCTAATTTGCGGGCGACAAGAATGCGGTTGAGAGAAACCAAGCCTGGCTGATCATTATACGGCTTGATATTTCGCGTCTTGTGAATTTTTGTCAATTTTATCAATTTCATATTTCACAGCACGGCGAGGATTTGTTACGAAATTCTGTATTTTCCATTGTATTTATCATGAATTTTACATCTCTCATATTTTGCGCCGCGCACTCGCGATCGCGACATTAATTTAATATTTCACATCTCGTAATGGAGTTGATTATTAATGTATATATCATATTTCATGTAGTTATTATTAGCCTGGTCACATTTCATAATATCGCTATTAATTTTACTCACAATATAGTCAACCTGAATTTTGCACAGCGTTCCCCAAGGAGCACGAGTGAAATAATTGACACAATGTGCGGCGGCGTGCACGATGCTCGTCCACAAAAATCTCACAATTACGTAAGCAGATCGGAAAGTAAGCTGCTGACCGCTCGTAAAACTGATTGTACTTTCCTGCTTGCCCTTAGCAAGTGGCGTCTGCGCAAGTTCGTTACCGTCAAATTCCACAAAAGATACACAAGCAAAGAGATATATGGGGATCTCGTGTTACCATCAGGATCCCATAATATTCCCAACAATAGGATATTCGAAAAGGACGGAAATAAGTCTGCGTCTTTTCATAGCTCTTTATACAGAGCAGACATCAAAGAAATGAGAAAGCAACGACGCATTGAAAAAAATGCTGATCAATCGAAAATTATATTTTTCTTGTACGAAAATATTTGACTGAAGATTACAGCCCAGCTTGAAGGCTATTATGTCGCCAGTCTTTATATAAGTGTCGCTGCTATAAGTGTGCATTATTCCTTAGGCCGTCCCGACGCCGAGGTTTCTTTCCTTTACTCTCTTAAAGCAAATAGTTTCTATAGTTGTAACTATAGTCAGCGATTATGAAATGCTTTTCGGTGATAATTCATTGTTCGGCCTTAAAAGAATAAAGAGAATGGAGAACGGTATCAGTTAGTCGAGTAAAAATCGTAGTACTACCTACGTATACGATTGTATTCTTCACCGAGAATAGGGATTTATCAGAGAACCTTCTTTCCTTTTTTTTATCTTTTTTATCTTCGCAACTTGTAACGTGTGCTTCAGCTTTTTTTCACCCACTTGCTCACCGAAATGGAATGTACTTTGTGTCAAGAAAACACCCCGTAATAACGGAATATAAATCCGTTTAGGAGGCCGCGACGACACGGCTCTTAGCCAGAAGAGTAAATCAGACACCTGCCGGCGCTGGTGTTTGACATAGTATTTCAACAATACCACCAGATTGCCAGGTAGAAGGGCGGATTTTGCGACCGTAGCCTATCTTAGTGCTCGAGTGCTGTCATTGTGTCGCTTCGACGGATCTTATACCTGCGACACTTCAGGGAGAAAGAACGCTAAGTCCCTAATCGAGAAACCCACTAAATTTCGCATTGACGACACAAGGGGCAACCGAGTGCGTTAGACTTCGATTTTAGAGTCGAAGTTTCGCTAGCATATTGGTCGAACTGAATATTTTTTCTTCTTTCGCAACTTCTTAGCTTTCCGTATAAAATTAATAAATTATTTTTAAAACTACCTAATCGTAATAAATTAACTTGATAACGCGATAAAGTTAATACTTCCTTAAAAATTTCCATTTGAAATTGAATGAACAAAATATCCGCCAATAGCAACAAGGTTGCTCCTATATACTTTTGAATTGTAAAGTTGGATTTATTGAAAAAATTTCTATATTACATGATTTCTATACATACTTTTTTGTCTAAACAAGCATCAGCCTCGGTACTGACGTAATTCTAAGTGGCGAACGAGGCCCAGAGAATTGTTCTAACGAGTCGAAGATCCGAGTTCAAATCCGACCAGAAATTATCAGTTTTTATTTTATCACCGTCTCTCGGAAGGAACTGGTGACTTCGATATTTTACCCTCTCTGTGTACATATACAGAAGAGACTCCAACACTCAAAAATCGAGCAGCAGGGGGTCTGACCCTCGTGAACAACAGGCACTCGCCAACGTGCCTGGCGAGCGTGGCGTTTTAATACGCCAACTTCTTAAAAAAAAAACCCATGTCGACAGGCATGGAAGAAGTCTACGTCCAGAACTGGACTGACAGAGAAATTCTATCAATTGGCAAAAAAGAAAGAATTCTACATTTGGTAACATTTTACGATAACGTCAAAAATATAAACAACTTAGTTTCCTCAGCACCGTTCATTTTACAATGGTTTATGCCCAATTCCCGCCACGTCAAGAATTGTCAAGAATTAATAATTGATGTGTAATATAATAAAACTGTACAAATGTATTAATCGCGTTTTATCTTGCTGATGTGAGATCACCAAGAGAGTTCTCTCATCGAAAGGATGCAAGAGGTTGTAACATCAAGAAAATTAATCGAACAATGATTCAGCGAAATTATTGTAAGACATCTTTTATGTCATCGTTGAAGCTTTCCTTCAAGATATACCTACACGGGGTAGTTCTGCATAAAGGGCGTAACAAACTGTTTTCTCGGGAAACTGTAACGCAAAAAAAATTCGTTCTACTATTTCAGGTTTTCAGAACCTTTCATGTGACATAAAGGCTACTACAGGGTCCGGTAGGAGGGCAGGTAAACGCCCCTCTTTATGATTTACGTAGCACATAAATTTTTGCATTTTATACAACTTATTATATCGAAATAACTTCTGTTGTATGTAGGTTTAATTTTTTTTTCCAATAAATTTGAGAGACAAACTCGCGCGCACAAACGTGTGTTGCGTTTGTGATCGGCACACATACACGTGCAAAAATTTCTTAATTCAATATTAAAAGCAATAATCGGTACGTAACGATAGCGGGCCTAAAAGTAATCGTTATACATTTTTGTGCAATCAAGTTACATTATCACGAACCAATAAATCGTCTCAACTAAAACACGCTCGATTTAGATAACCGTGCATCTTCCGCGTGCTTCATGTGCAGCATCATATGCTTATTTTCGTAGCAGAATGTCAAAGTCGTTTTACACGAAGAGGCGAAATTGTGTCAAGCGCACGATTACGTGTAAATGCAAATCGCTTTATATCATTTTTGGAATTTTAATCCGCGCGCGCGCGCGGAGATGTCGCGCAAATTA